GATAAATGCAAAGAATCATGGAAAGACATATGAATTAATGCAGAATGAAGTAAGCAGACCCATGCACACACATATATATAATGAGTATGACAATGAGAATGGAAAGAAGAGCAAAAAAAAAATCAAAACTGAATGCTATGAAAATAAAATGATCAAGTTTAACCCCAAGAAGAGCTACAAGGATGCACACCAGTCCCTTTTTTTCCAGAGGCAGGGGACAATAGGTGTGAAACACTAACTAGAATATCAGACTTGGTTAGTTTTTCTGAACTATTTTTTCCTTTCTTTTGTATTCTTTTTTTTTTTTAATGAGGAATGGTTCTCTGGGAGACAAGGGGGAGAGGAATACATTGGCAAGTGTTAGTAATGTAAGAATAAAAGATATCAATAAAAAGTCATTTAAAACCCAGATGCACAAGCACAGGGTAAGAGGATCAGGTTTAATAGGTGATTAGAAAAAAAAAAAACAAGACAAAAAAAAAGTTGAATACAAATTCAATATGAACCAAAGGTGTGATAGCTGCTAAATAAATACTAATGCAATGGTAGGGTGCATTAGAAAGATCATTATTCACTGGACTCTATGCTCATTGGTTGATGAAATCTGGAGTATTTCATTCAGTTCTAGATAGCATAAAAATAATAAAAATAACCTTGAGTGTATCTAAATGAGGGATAAAGATGAAAAAAGGCATGGAAACTGTATTATATAAGGTCTGGTTGAAGGAACTAGGTATGTGTAGCCTATAGTAGAAAAGATTTCCTCATAGGTTCCCAAAGTGAGTGATACAGCCCTTGTAGGGGGGTACTGGAATGATCAGGAACTGGGGGCAGTGGAAATACGAGGAAAGAAGACAAGAGAATTTTGAAAAACTGTTTGTACATGTTTCATCTGTTGTGTAACAGAGCTAAAATCGTAGCCATTATTTTCCAAATAAACACACAAAATGCAAGTTATAACTGATTAGTGGTCAAGTCCACTGACAGGTTTTAACAAGCAAGTGTTGGCAGGGCAGCATGTTACACATTGTCTGGAAGTCCAACATGCATCAGCAGGAATATGTGCATGTAATGACTTGTTTACAATATCATACTATATGGTTACATGACACAATATTCTGTCACCAAAATTTCAATGCAGGAGAAGCCCTACAAATCTACAATAAATTATTCAATTTAAGATGCACCATTAAAAAATGCATTTTTAAGTGATAGAAATATAAAAAAAAATAAAGGATTAAAGAAAGTAGATTTCCAGTGGGGCACTGAGCGTTTTTTTAAAAAGGAGGCGGTAGGCCAAATAAGTTTGGGAACCTCTGATTTAGAGGATATGTAAAATCCAATTAAAATATTTAAAAGAAAGTCAGGTGGAGGAGGAATTAGATTTACTCCAGGACCAAAGAGTAGAAAGAAAGCAATTTTTAAGAAAAGCATTCATTAAGTACCTACTATATGCCAGGCACTGTGCTAAGCAATACACAAATATCTCATTTAATCCTTACAACAAACTGGGACATAAGTGCTATTATGATTTCCACTTTACTTTTGAGCATATTGAGGAGGGAAAGAAGTTAAGTGACTTGCCTAGGGTCACATAGCCAGTAAGTACCCAAGGCTAGATTGGAACTCAGGTCTTCCTGACTCCAGTCCCAACACTCTATCCACTGGGTCTCTCAGCTGCCTCTATAGAAGCAGCTTTTAACCAAATAACTAACCATTAGAGCCATCCAGTTATGAAATGGGTCATTTTGTGAATTAATGAAGTCCTACATCATCTGATGGTCAGATCCCTTTCCCATAGGTACATACTTTGGGAACAAGAGCAAGGAAGAAGCATCTGGTCCCTGGAATCCTGGAGAACGGAAAACACTCCTGAGCGTCTTGGCTTGTCTGTGTGAGGTTAGAAGAATCTGAGGCCAGACTAGCCAACTTACTAAGGTCTGCCGATGAGAACCGACCTCCAGTTACCACTAAGACTCATAACTAAGAGTATATTCTGCTGTATCACCAGTGCCAAGTCAGAGCAGGAACAATCAGGTAATGTGTATTACCTTTATGTACCTTCCACTGCCTAATTCTAGGACTTTGTTTTATGCCATTATCCCTCTGTCTCGAATCCTCAGTCTTTCCCTTTTAATTGGTCCTTTTTCGCTTGCCTTATAAACATGCTCAAGTCATCTTATCCTAAAAACCACTTCATCTCCTGATTCTTTAACTTCAAACTCATAACACTTTCTGCACATCTTTTCTTCACGTTCATATTTTATACTGTAATATAATTATTTATATGCATGTCTCATTTCCTCTATGAATTTATAAGAGAGACTGACTCGTTCTTTGTTTTGCCAACAATGTACGTAGTAGCTACTCAGCAAATGTTTATTTGGACAGATGAATTCATTTCAGACGTTAGCGATAGGTTGGTAAGGGAAATTTATTTTTTGTTGGGTGAACAGTTACTTCCTTGAAACCCAGAAACTCCTAAGCCTATAGATAAGCACCTTAACCCCTTTGAGAATTAACAATTGAAGAAAATCAAACTTAAAAAACAGATAAATCCACCATCTTATCCACAAGAACCCTAACTCTTCTAAATGAAAGTTAGGATTTACAAAAAGGACAAATCTGGGAATGATCATTCACTTAATAAAAATGTTCACTGGTAGTTTTCTTTAAATGACTATGAACTGGTGTATGATTAAAATAAAGTTCAATAAATTAAAATTCAAATTACACACAAACTTATCAGAAATATTTTTTATTGTATAAATTGAGATATACCTACTCATCAGCTTGAAATTCCAAACACAGTAATTAATTAGCAGTGGCTAACCTTGCCTCTGAGGTATTGCATTTATTAACAATACAGTGTATATTAAAGGTGCTATCTATTGCCTTGTTGGAATCTGACTCCATTTATGAATCTGGTTAGTATGCAGTCAATAAAAAAATGGATCTGAAATGACAAAGGGTTAATAGGGACTCATCCAAACACACTTCGAGTTGAATGGCTGAGTTAAGAGGAACATTTAAAAAGTCCTTCAGTCTCTTCATCAGTCATCATCTCAGGCTTCTACTCCATAATCAAAACACTTCCTTCATGCCCCCTTAAAATAAACAGGCTAAGAATTTCCCTGAACTCTGTCACTTGAGATACAATGGGGGCTACTTAGGAGGCCATTCAAGGATTAATTCAGGAAAGGTCCACTGCAATGATTCCCCATCTCAAGAGTTTAGCAAAGGGACACAGAGTCTCCACAGGAGGGAAGTGGGATTCAGCAGTAGGCTTTTCACCATTAAATTCTTGGGATTAACCATATTCTCATTAGTCATCATTTTCCTCATTACTACCCCTTTCCCTCAGGTGCTTTAAGGGGCCCCAAACAAGCTCTTTTTGGTTTAATGAATTAACTGAAACATCATAGTTAAACTGAGTAGCTATTTCATGCAGCCAAAGGTTTAATTAATTAGAATACTGCATGATGCTTAATTTTAAACCAGGTTCAAAAATTAGGTTCATAGAAACATAAGTTGCTTTTATCCCATGTATTGTTTTTCTAAACAGGTTTAGGAATCGTTTTGACTTACAAAACTACAGTCTTCATAGGTGCCATTTTTAATTAAGTTAATCAAGATAGAACAAAAACAGTAACTTCATTTATATAACAACGACATTACATAGCACCTTAAGGTTTGGAAAGAGCTTTCCTCACAAGAAGTCTGTTGATGTAGTGTGGAAGAGCAGAGTAAAACCTTTTGGACTTGGAGTCAGGAAGCCCTTGACTCAAATCCTACCTTAGACATTTACTAGCTGTGTGATCTTAGGCAAATCACTGAAACACTCTGTTTCAGTTTCTTTATGTGAAAAAGTGAGTGATTTCGACTTGATAGCCTCTAAGTTCCATCCCACTCCAACTCTATGGTCTTAGTACAAGCATTATTGTGCCCATTTTACAGGTGAAGAAAATGGGGCTCTGAGAGAGTTAAATGATATCTGATACCACACAGCCCAGTAAGTATCTAAATACAAGATTCAAAACATGTCATCTGACTCTTGTGACTAGCACTTTTCCCACTATACTTCAGATCAATCATTTTCCTTTCTAGTCATTTATTTCTAAATTCTAATATGCTATTATACTCCCAACCCTTCAAAAGAAGAAAAAAAAATACAAACCAAATAACATACTAGGCACAGAAGTCCATGGCAATTTTTAGTCCAAAAAGTCATGGCTGAACAAATATCCACACACAAACACCATCAGCAGCCTCACGCTGCCCTCATTTTTTTACATAGCTAATGATATCTGTTCTAAAATAATTCTACAGGCTGAATGTTATCTGCTGCTACTCATGAGTAATTCCTACCAACTTCTGTGGAAGTTGTGTGGGTGTTTGACAGAAGGATTTGGCCCAAAATGTTTTTTTCCAACTTAGAATTAAACTAAAAAGTTAAGGTCACCCATGGAACCATTTTCTTAATTGTTGTGTCATATCTTCTCTCACTGAAAAAGGCAGTCTAAAATTAATCCATTTCACTCCCTACTTATTCATCTGCCCAGTAGTGGGAGAATTAATAAAAAGCCAAACCCAGCTAGTGCCTTAGGACCAGTGTTGAATGTCAACAGGGGCCATATCTCACATTAAGTTGATGATGATAATGATGTTAACACTTTCCACCAAATATTTATCAAGTACTCTTCCTTAAGTGAATTGAAATGACAAAATATTGGCTATTGTTTAGGTAGCACAAATATGTGTTGAATATTTGCCTCTATGGATGAAATCTTCCCATGCATCCTCTCTAATAACAATTTTGTCCTTTCAAAAGTGACAGCCCTAATGATGCAATTTAATTGCTTACTTTTTCTCACAAACATTGGATGTTCCAAGCCCTGACTCATCTCCCTATATTTCACATTCTCCTTTTCAAAAAATTGAACCAAACTCATAGATCCCATCAAGTGGCAAATGTTTTAGGGAGAGTTAGGCTTACTCACCTTCCAGCAGGTCTCTTGCCAGACCTGGTTCTGCCCCTGTGGACCGAACAAAGTCTGACAGGACTGCGTCCATATCAAGAGTCATGTGATCATGTAGAAGTGCTGCCCAACACTCAGCGGAGGTGGGGTTCAAGAGCAGACTAGAAGCCATCCATCTGTAGGGAAAAAAGAAAGAAGGAATCTTACCTATTGATAGTACATTATAGTACTGAACAGAAAACACCAGTGGTGAGTAGTTAACCATTCCTCTTGGATATTTTTATGTAGCTGACTTGGGTGACATCCACCTTGATCGACGTGCAAAATGTTTTCAACATTTAAAACTAACACATGATTACTGTTGTGAATGTTGGATAGTTCCCTTCCCCCATTCAGCAAGAGGTTGGCAAGGGTGACCGCCAAATATGACCTGACTGTACCTAACACTTGTGAGCAGCAGTTCATAGAACAATCAAATACTGAAAAACACAAATGGCATTTCATAACCACAGGGGATTCTATAAACCAAGCATTTATGCAAGTGAACTAGAAATAAATAGTGTGTTCTTCTGTTTCCCCAAATTATGCTGGAGCCATCTGCCACCGAAGCACATACGTAACACACACTCATATTTCGCACTATGTGGTTAAATTACATCCCAATACAGATACAGGTAGTCCCGAGCACATGAACTTTGTTCCAAAAATATATTAATAAGTCATTTGCTAGGAACTCTGAAGGCATTTTCAAAAATAATGCTATATGTGACTATTAGTTTCCTAGGTAAGCCAATAAAAGCCATTTTTTAAGTTCAGTTCTATGCTAAAGGTCACAATATTTTTTAAATGGGATGATGCATCCTAATTTATAACTTTAGACAACAAGGACTCATCTCTCTCCATAATCCCATCCCCCAATGGGATTTGAGACTTCAAATCTCTATTCTTTTTCAATCTGATAAGTCATAGGTTCCCAGCTCCAAGGCCTTACCCTCTGTGGTTTGGGATTGAGACTTCAGCAAGTTCTGGTGGGGGCAGAGAGGAGAGAAGAGAGAAGGGAACCTGGTGGGAGGCAAGTTGTAAGGAGAATAGGTATGAAACAGTGGGAAGCTGGAATTCTATTACTAGAAGGCATTTTATTTGTAACCTGGGTGCTTAGCATAGTGTGTTGCATGTAGTGAATGCTTAAGAAATGCTTTTTCATTCATGTATTCATACGTTCATTCATTCACACATTCAATCATTCATTCAATATAAAATGTGAGTCTCCAAGTAACACTTTCCTGGCCCCAAAGATTCCCTTGCTTGTTTCTCTTTCCCTGCTACCACCTACTGCTTCTAATCATGGTTTCTCTCATTCCCTAGCCCATCCTGGAAGAGACAGGGAGAAGAGTCTGTGGTTTCTTTAGAAGAGGAAACTCTTACCTTTATAAGTTTGCATCTTTTATACACCTTATAGTCTTAAGAAGCTAACTAATATTTAGAAGTTAAGTCAACTTCTCAGGGAAACAAAGCCCATATGTGTCAAATGAAGAGCTTGTGCCCATGTCTTTATAGTTTCTTGGTCAGTTCTCTATCCAGTATGCCATTCCTTCCTCTCACTATGGGTTAGATGTTAGAACATGCCAAAATACAGCTCTTTTAAGGTTTCCTAAGGGTTGCTGTTAGCAGTCAAGGGACAAAATAGGGAATAAAATTCACCCTCCTATGACTCAGATCTCCCCGATTCCCTTATCTCCCCCCTTATTTAGACTTCAGGGGGAAAGATAAAGTCTCACACAAGTGACAATGGTGAGCCTTTACGCACAAGAGAGATCTATAAAATTTATTTTGGGAATTAAGAAGTTAGACTTCCTATAATACTTTAGAGATGACTTCATCCAACCTAATTTTAAACAGAAGGAAACCAAAACCCAGAAAAGTTAAAGTGATTTGTCTAAGGTCATTGTTGTTTTTGTTCACCCTTCATTCTCAAAGAGGACCAATGACAATCACAAGGATGAAGTTTTGACTTATACTTCAATTTACATATAAGTGAGGCAGAGCTGTGCAAAGTAATCAGCCTCACTCTCTTCTCCAGAGTCATCAAAGTCCAGGGACAAGACAAAAGTCAAGACGACTGGTGGTGGCTCAAGATGCAGTGGGTGACCGTGGCCTTTCTAAATTAAGATCTTTCCCAGGTCTCAGCTTGTCTAAGGCCAGGTCCATTCATAAAAGGTACTAGGTATTGTGATGAGCTGACTCTATCCCTTTCTCTTTAAGAAAAACAAAGTAAAACAACAAACAAAAATACTATAGTATCTAAACTTGATGTATCATAAATTGACGGCAGCAACCACCCCTGCACTGGTTTCCCTTCTAAGTGTATTGTTCATTAACCCGCTTTTCTTTCTAACAAAGTCATTTTTTTCTGAACACCCATGCTGACCATATCATAAAATCTCAGAGTTAGAAGGTACTGGGACTCTAAGGTCATACAAGCAGAAAGTAGAAAATAAAAGATTCAGACACAAATATTATGACACAGAGGTCTATGAAATTCTTAGGAGGTGAGAAAGAATCCTCAAATTTAGAAGTGTGGGAACTACTTAACTAGGTCATTGCTGTTAAACTAGGAACCTAAATCCATTGCCCAGAAATCACCACCTACTTAGTTTTAAAGAAACTCTTCCAGGTAGACACAATTAATGATAGGTTTAATACTCAAAGTTTAGGGTTGCTTACTGAACTTAGTGAGCCATGTCATTCCCAGACTCTCCAATCAACCTAGAGAAAATTAGGTTTTATTGAATAGAATGCTATGATTGTTGAAGGGCAAGGTGATACAAATGGTACTTAAGCCTCACTATAGGCTATTTGCACCATGAAGCTGCATAGAAAAACAACAAATATACCAGTATGTGACAATGACTTGTGGCCTGGGAACCATCGCCACAATGACCAAAGGAACCTCAGTTTTGGCTGACATACAAATGTATTCTTGCTTTTTTTTTTTTTTAAATACAACTAATGGAAACTTCTATATCAGTAAGGACGCTATTAAATCCCAAGCGAGGGAAGTATTTAAGTCTAAAAAAATTCTTGAATAATTCACATTCTTTCCTTTGCATCATATGTAAAGAAACATGTTTGTTGATAAAGAAAACAGACTCTTTCCTTTGCTATATACTTAGTCTCCTGGCACAAAAAAACAAAAACACTTTTAACAAGTTATATACTGCAGCTCAGACCAAAACTCATGATGCTTGGGCTCTTAGTGAAATCTACTGGTGAACTTCTTTTCACAGTGGTATAGGATTGAAAAAGAAAGCCATTCCCAAGATTTCATGGGTTAAACAGGTAATTTAGCCACAGAAATAATGCTTTAATTCAAAGTTCTTTCTGAACATTGTAGATAGAAAAGATGTAAGGGAAGTCCCAGAAGACATGACCAGCTAAAGAACTAATTTATGAATAAACCATGGCCTAAATATGCAAGTAAGTGCTGACTCTAAAGTAGCTTCCTTGGCAGATCAGACACCTAATCTAATGCTGCTGCTGTTGTTCAGTCTTGGAAACCTGTGGTACCTTTTTTGGCTATCCTCAATAGTCGTAAGCCTTCATCCTTAACAGAGGGTTTGACTTCCGGAAAATGATGAGGGATTAGGGGTTGTTTATTGATTAAGGTTGGTGAACAAATAGGGCAAAATAATTGGGGTGGGGCAATCATTAACTTCAACGGACTGATTTTCTCAGGTGTCTCAAACTGGTGCTGAAATCAGTCTCTGAAGAGAAGTTAAATGTTTTTTTAAAAAATGGAGGTAACATGGAAACACACTTATAGCTTCACAAGGTAACAATATTAAAAGAAAATATTCCCGGATGTGCAAGTTTTTATTTAATATTTTCTTACTTTAATAGTCACATTCTGCATTTTACACTGATCCTAAAAGGGCATATTTTTCTTACAAGTTCATTTCAATTCAGTACTGTGGGAGGTACTAGGAATGCAAAGATGACAAATTGCATAGATCATCACAATAGATACTTTTAAAAAATTATTTGCTCTGATAAATAATTATAAAGTCTTTCTTCCCAACCATGCCATGTATCATAGGCAGCTGACAGGAAAGAAATTGAAAGAGAAGAAGACTAAAATTGTTTCTGTAAAAGAACAAATTATGGCAAAGCAAAAAGAAGAGATGGTTGGAAAGACTTGGGTTCATGTCCTCACACATACTTTCTATGTGACAACTTGAAATTCATTGGATGGCTATTCAACACTCCAGGCAACCCTAAGATTGTAAGCTAAAGAATAGCTGTCAATTGATTTTGGTGACAGAGGTTTCCACACCAAAACCAAAAAGAAAAACAAAATAAAACCTTACTCTAACCTTGTAAAGGTCATTACAAAAACTTTTGTCATTTCCTTTGCTAATAACGCATTTGTAGAATGGGAGTGGAGGGAGGGAAGAGGGTGTAGAATGATTGTTCCTCAAAATATTTCCTTCCTGGTGTCTTAATGCTCTCCAAACTTAACCTCAAGGGATTATGAGTTCATTACCACCACATGGGCAGCCCATTCTCATCTTAGAGAGCTCTATATCTTAGAAAGTTTTTTTTTTCCTTATACTGAACTGAAATCTGCCTCTCAGCACCACAATTATTTTTTGATCACAGAATAAACCATTAAAGAGATTGGTGGCCAACACATAGAAATGGAAGCAGGACTAGCATATGAGAGCAATGCTGTGGATATAGTTTATCTAGATTGTGAATGAATGAACCCTTTATAAAACACTTACTATGTGCAAAGCATTGTGCTAAGCACTTAGGACACAAGAGAAAAGTAAGACTGTGCTATCAAGTAACTCAAATTCTAAGGGAAGAGACAACACAAATAGAAGGCTTCAGTTGTAAGTCAGATGGAAAGGTCCCATGGTCCTTAGGGTGCAGTTGCAAAACTGATGGTAACGTTTCTTCTTTAGTATCATTTCCTTTGGCTGTATCTTTACCAACTCACAAATGTTTGGAAATTATTTCAGATTCCACTGTGCTATTTATTGATCATGAAACAACAGAAGATTCAACAGAGGAAAATGTTGACTTAAAAGGTTTTTACCAACAATATGTCTCTCTGTTATATCAAAATCATTCAAGAGTCTATGAAAGACACAACAGAAATAGCCATGTTCAA